TCGGAGGAAGAAACCTCCCTGTCCCCCCCCCAAATATTCTTCAAAAAAAATTGAAATTAATCAGATTCAACGTAGTTCTAAATGTCCCTTCCAAAAAAACTATTAGATTAATCAATAAACTACCTTGTTGTATAAAGCATACTGTGTATACACCATCGTTTATAAATAAAATTCTAAAGCTGTCTAGAATCTTATGTGACTTTATACTTAACTGTTACTGGTCAAATGAAAACTTAAAATTTTCCCTTAGTTATTGATAGTCTCTACCTTTTCTCTTTCCTCTAGAGTTAGTCCATCCTTCTTGGCGATCTTTGCCGATCTTTCTTCCATCGCAGACCTCTCGTTCTCCTGAATTTAAGTAAATCAAATCATAAATAAAAAAGGCCATACTAAGGGTTGAAATCAGGCCCTAGCAAATATTTCAAAGATTGAACCTGAAATTTGGCTCACAAAAAAATTATTAAATTAAGATCTTTTTATTTAATTTAACATTTACCAATTACAAATTTCTAAAACGACAATTAATGTTTACAAAATTACCACTTATTTAACCGAAACGGCATTTTTTCTACAAGATAAATGAGTTGTTTTGTATCGTTAACCCCTCTCCCCCTAAAATAAAATTAAAATTCTCCCTAAAACAAACAATACAATAGACAAACTAAAATGTTGGACTTTTTAAAACATTATAATTAAATTACCGCTCTAGCTGCAATTTCCTGAGCTCGCTTCCGCGCCAATTTCCGGCGTTTAGCCTGGCTCTCAAAGGAGTCATCTTCTGGTTCTGGCGCTACAGATAAATAGTTATCAAACTTACATTTAAAAATACATTTTCAGTTTCATAACATCACGATAACCATCCACAATTTATTAAACCAATTTCTTGCATCACAAAATTTGTGAAAATTTGTTTATTTAATGGGACTGTAGACGTAGAAGTGATCTTTCTTTGACCACAAAAAGTATGCTGGGTTTCATTGTGAATTAATCATACAACTCTGCACGAATGAATAGTAGTTTGAAATAAAATTAAATGATATTTTTTGGTAAAAAGTATCATTGAAGTAGATAAAACCCAGTAATTGTCCATATTAAGAGCTGGAATGAAGCTTAGTCCAAAGCCTTCTCCTAGTCCTAATAGCAAAATTTATATCGCCCTCCCAACCACATACACGCACACACAAACACCATCACACACTAAAAATCGTTCTCTTGGAATATACCCAAATAATGAACATTAATACCTTCTGTAGGTGCAGCACCCTGTTGTAGACTACCAGGCTTAAACCGAGTTATCTCAGAAACATCCATTTCGAATTCTAAATAAAATAACAAAAAACACTAATTATTTCACACTAAAATTAGTTTTACATCGAAATTAGGTCAAGTTGTTTGGAGATAAAATTTCAGCCCTGTCCTTGAGAACACTTTTATACATCCCTCTTTCAGATCAATTTTTTAACACAACCGTCAGTTCTCGATCTTTAAATTTAATTTAAATTTAATTTCATTAAATTTATCGAGTTAGGAGCACATTTAACTTTTTAATATTGATAATTTAAAAAAGGGCCGAAGACCCGCAAATGTTAATTCTGACTAATTTCAATGATTGACATGAAAGATTAACTAACCATTAACTTATCACATACTAGCTTTTATAATAGAGAAAACGAAATAAATGTATCATGCACCCGAATGACGTTTCAGTATCGACGTCTCAAATATGACGTTTAAACTGACGAAAGTTAGGATTCAGGAATGAGACCCCTTCAACGATAAATAAAAACAACACACGCAGAATTTCTGGATTTCATTAGATGCGGGGCATACTGCGCTTTTCTGAAGTCGTCTTTGTAATTCGAAAAATATGTTCATCGAGACTAACTGAACTTCGTGTTACTCTTATGCTTTTTAACTGAATTAAAATAAAATAAAAAAATGATGAACTTATCTTTTTGCTTGTTTTACAAAAAACAATTGGCGTAAAAAATTATTTTGCTGCGTAGACTCATTAAATGTATTTTGTATTTACGTAGACTCTTTAATATTTGAGCGCAGCAAATTCAAAGCCTATAAAGTGCAATGCCGCTCAAATTAATACATGTAAACATTTAATTTTTATAAATTCAAAACGTTTATTTACTGTTATTGTTATTTTGCAGCAAATCAGTAAAAGCTATTTGGGTCTGTCCTATTGAACGATTTTTGGACCCCCGCCCCTCCCCGCCTATCAATTTTGAACATGACCAAATTAGAATTTATTAAGCATTATTTAGGGTTAGGTTAAGACACTTTCTGGGCAGAGCGCTGCGGCTAGGATGGGCTAGGGGGCCGAGCGCTGCGGCCACGGGTTAGGTTAAGTTAAGACACTTTCTGTAAGACCCATGTACAAAATTGATAGGAGGGGGGGGGGGTCCAAAAATCGCTCTCTAGGAAATTACCAGCTATTTTCCTGGAGAAAACTTTGCTTTCTTAATAAATTGAGGTCATTATCTAAATATGGGGCTTAGAGTGACAATTTGCATACACCGGGTGTTTACCTTAAATTCTGCAGAGTTCAGAGAATTCTTCTTCTTAACAACTCCATTCAATATCAAAATAAATCAACAATAGTAAATATTATTCGCAGAAAAAGAGAGACAAATTCTCTCATTTTATTTTCATAGCATTTGCTATCAGAGAAATGTAATTTCAGTAAATCATGTCAGACACTTCATCTTCGGAGGAAGAAACCTCCCTGTCCTCTTCTAGCTCCTCCGAGGAGGATAAACGGAGGAAAAAGAGGAAGGAGAAGAAGAAAAAGAAGAAGAGAGATGAATCCTCCTCCGACAGTTCAAGATCAAGATCCAGATCAGAAAGGTAGTTTATATTTTTTATATTTTATTTCATTGTTATGCCGTTCAGCTCGATATTATTCCACGAGTCTAATTCACTTGATATTGTTCAAATGTTGAATGCTAATGTTGCATGCTTTGATTGAAGTAATTAGCCTGCAGATAGTTTGTCTTGAAAAATCCCCCCCCCCCCCCATTAAGTTTAATATTTTACTCTTGTTTATTATGAATATTTTTCTTGGTTTTTTTGTTGCTAAGTTTAGGGAATTTTACAAGTACTTCAATGAGGGAAATCTTGCCAGTAGATATCGAATAGTTCAATTTTCCTGAAATTGTTCACAGTCGAAGTCAACTTCCCCTCCCCCCAAAAAAATGTATATGTAATGAAAGATGGTTGGAATTATGTTGGAATTTTTATAATAATTTAGGCGTAAGAAAAAATCCAAGAAGAGTAAAAAGAAGAAGAAAAAGAAGCAGAAGAAGAGAAGGAAATCAACCAGCTCAAGCAGGTGGGAAGGTTTTAGCATCNTCGTATATTTTATAAAAACAAAGACTATGTACTTTTGTTTTAGTTCCGAAAGTGGAATTCAGGCAGAAAAGAAGAAAGCTTGGGGTCTCGTGGAAGGTTAGACTTTTTTTCTCAATTTTGATTTATTATTTAATGCTTAATTGTTGTGCAAATGTATTTTACAGCTACACCATGTTAAATTAATTGAGAAGCAGAAACCAAGAGAAAATGTGCTTTCTCGTTTATTTGTTATCCGAAACTTTATTTCCAATTGGCTTCATATTCTATTTTTTTGTAAACTTTATCTAAATCTTTAAAAAAAAATTAATTAGATAAGTTATTGAAAAATATGAATTATAATCGAGAATTAATTTCAGATCGAGACGATGACGATGACGATGATGATGAAAACGAGGAAAAGGTGAAGGAAAATAAATGTTTCAATTATTCCCTTGTTGGTAGAGAGTTTCGACTGCTTCGGGGAAAAAAAAAACTTGAAGGAACTCAGAGAAAATATATTTCAATATTTTACATATCCCTCTTAACTCTATACAAAAATAACCATATTATTTGATAATACTAATAATAAATATTTTTAATTAATTTTCGTAGAGGATCATTTTTCAACGTGGTCTTGTTGATTTATTGACTGCTAACTTGATTAGTTTATTGATATTTTTATTTGTGAACAGATTGGTTTTTTACTCCTTCGATACTAATTGATCTTACCTCCCATCCTAGTTTTTTTGATTTATTATTACAATTATCCATCTTTTCTTTCATTTATCTTTCAATCAATCCTTACCAGTCTTTTATTTGTTTTTTAGTCATTTATTATTTTTTACATTCATTTATCCTTTTAGAACTACTTGAATTCATGCCTTTTTTCATCATTTATTCATTAATCGATCGTTCCATCCTTATACATCATTTATTCATTAATCGATCGTTTCATCCTTTTTCATCATTTATTCATTAATTGATCGTTCCATCCTTTTTCATAATGTATTCATTAATCGATCGTTCCATCCTTTTTCATCATTTATTCATTAATTGATCGTTCCATCCTTTTACATCATTTATTCATAAATCGAGCGTTCCATCCTTTTTCTGTTTTCATAATGTATTCATTAATTGATCGTTCCATCCTTTTTCATCATTTATTCATTAATTGATCGTTTCATCCTTTTATATCATTTATTCATTAATCGATCGTTCCATCATTTTTCATCATTTATTCATTAATCGATCGTTCCATCCTTTTTCATCATTTATTCATAAATCGATCGTTCCATCCTTTTTCAGTGATTGAATGTTTTTTCAGGGAAACGACGTAGACTCTTCTGATCTTGACATAAACACAATGCTGGAGGAAATTGAAGAAAATTTAAATTTAGGAATTTTACATTTTTCTTTATTTCTCAAGACCAGGGGTGTATATTTTTCTTAAAAAATTATCCCATCCCCCATTTTCTTTAGCTGAATAATATTTTTGGGGGGAAATAAAACAATTTTTTTCCAGATCCCCGAAAATTATAATTTTTTTCCAGATCCCCGAAAATTATTTTTTCTATTTTTCTGAAAACTATATAGCCGAGTCGATGGAGGGATTTTAACAATCTCATCCATTACTTTTCATTTATTACTTTTCATTTATTCAGCTTTTTCTGTGGTTGTTTGATTTACAATATCAAAGAATAAATAAAATCCAGAGGAGTTGATGAAACAAAAAGAAATCATTCAAAGAAAGCTTGGACTCGAGGGCATTGAAGGTAAGACACCCTCCGCTACCCCCTCCATCAACTGCATGCATATTCAGCTACCAATTTGGTCGAATGAAATCCGTGTCTTAATTTTTAGTAAAGGAACTGATTACTTTTCACAAAATCTAATATTCTAATCTATATATTTTCAACCAGATGCTCTCATATTTCAAATGGGACATGTTAGAAATATAAATTTCTATCCCATCAGGTTGCAAAGATATTGGGATTCGAAAATAACAGATTCTGTCAAGTATTTAGTTCCTTTACTTATGCTGTATCTTGTAGGAATATCAGATACTGAGCTGGAGAACAACGATGGAGCTAACCCTCTTCCTCAACCAGAAAAGGTAAGGTCTGGTTTTGATCTTGGTCTTGGTCTTGGTCTTGGTCTTGATAGATTGATTGACTGACTGACTGACTGACTGACTGACTGACTGACTGACTGACTGATCGACTGATTGATTGATGGACTGATTGGTTGATCGATTGATTAATTTACTGATTGATTGATTGACTAACTAAATTATTGATTGATAATTGATTGATTGGATGAATGACTTGCTGATTGATTGATTGATCGATTGTTATTATTAAGGTTGAACACGAGTGTGTATCTATCCATAGTGATGAGGAACCTGAGTGTGTTGAGATTAAGAGTGATTCCGACGTTGAGCATTTAATACAGATGGACAGGTCATTTTCTTTTCTCTCTCCCTCAGGAGTTTATATTACTTGTAAGATTTTATTCCCCCCCCCCCTTCCATTTAGAACAAGTTTATTTCTTTTTTCAGTTCTAAAGTTAGAGTGAGTGGCCCTTAGAGTTCTGGATTTGAACTAGAATTTCCCTAATTCACGAAATCTTGAATCTGAACAAATATGGAAAATGTGGAAACCCAAATTAGTTGATTTCGCTCACCCGAGAAGATAATGTTTGAAGTTCATTCTTTCCATTCAAAAATTTTTGTAATGTTGTTCCATATTTAGGAGACGGGATAAACAGCACTCCAGGCATAATCCGAACAAGGACAGACTCCGAGAGAAGTGGAAGGTTGGACGGGATAAGGACAGAAGAAGGAACAGGGACGAGGACAGGAGGGACAGGGACAGGAGGGATATCAGGGACGGGAGGGATGGCAGGGATAGGTTCAGAACAGAGTATGATAGGAACAGGAGAGATAGGTAATGGAGCAACAAACAATTTTACTTTTTTAATATTAACCTGATGTTATTCTTTATTCTGATGTTTTCTGTGATCAATCTTATGTTTTTCTTCGGTAATCTGGTATTTTTCTTAGTTAAACTGACATTTTGATTAATTAATCTGATGTTTTCTTTTGTAATCTGACGTTTTTTCTAATTAATCTTGCTGTTTTACTCGGTTAAACTGACCTTTTTACTAATTTATTAGATATTTCACTTAGTCAAGTTTTTCTTCATTAAACTGTTGTTTTTATTTTTGATTTGACAGTTTTATAATTTCCTGCAAAGATGAAGGGATAATGAATTAATATGTTTAAGAAAAAAATTATTTTGAACAAATATCCTTAAGTTTATTATGACTTACAAAATGATCTTTTTTGCAGGGGTAGAGACAGAGATCGTCGGGATAATTATGATCGGCGTGACAGGGATCGCCGTGACGGTGATATGGATAGAGATGGCAAGGTAATGATCTATTTTTCTAAAGCCAAGTATATGTACTTAAGCTAAGTATATTGTTACTGTTACTGTTACTGTTACTGTTACTGTTACTGTTACTGTTACTGTTACTGTTACTGTTACTGTTACTGTTACTGTTACTGTTACTGTTACTGTTTAGGGAAAGGAAGAGGTAAAACCTGAAAGTTCATCAGAAGAGTTGGATATTGATATTGAAAGTGATGAAATGGTAAGAGAAGAGAATTGATTTCAACTTTAATCTCTTTACGCAAATTTAATTTCGTTACTATTATTAACATTTTTTCACGAAATTCTAAAAATGTGCAATTTTGATCAATTCCTCTTTGGTTTCTGTATCAAGAACAGCAAGTCACTTCTATAGAGAATTGCAATTAAAAAAGATAAACAAAGATAAACATGTACTGTATATCATTCACTCTTATAATCATTCTTGATCATACGAAGCTTTAAAGAGGTATCATTGTGAATCAGACATACCACATACATTTCGGTTTCTTTCCCGTTAAGTTCAAGAAATATATTTGAAGGACTGTTAAAACCAATAATTTTGTTGTAGGATGAGGAGGCGATCATTGAAAAGAGAAGAAAAGAAAGAGAAGAGCTGTTAAAGAAATTACAGTCTGACAAGGTATTATTGCAATCAACATATGTATGGCTGCCAATATTTAACTTTACCGGAAACGTGTCTTTGTCTATGACTATTGACCATAATTATCATTGACTTATTACTTGATCACAAAGACCAATTTAATCTTAAAAAGAAATTCAATGTTTCGCACCTGCTGTGCAGTGATTTGAACAGAGGTCAATTTTGGAATAAATTCCATGACCATGGGGGGGATATTTTGGACAAGGTGGCTCTGATAGCTTTCCCCTATCTCTTAGGGGTGGGTTCGATTCCCCAAAATCGGTGGCAGAGGGCTTACTAAACCATGTTAGTTTAATTATTGCTATCAGCTACCATTTTCAAACTTCATGATTTCTTTTATTTTTTGTTTTTCACAATTTTAACCACGAAGACTTAACAATGCTCATAATTATTAGCTTCCATTCAGGTTGTTCCCGCCCCCCGAGCTGTGACTCCTCCAGAAGTCAAGATTGTTCAAAGTCTGCAGGAGATAGAGTGGGAGAAGAAGGAGAAGGAGGCGCTGAACAGGAAGAATGAGCTGGAGAAGAAGGAGGTGGAGGAGAGGAAGAGGAAGGAAAGGAGTGGCAGTGAAGAAGAAACGAGGAAAAGACGAAGATCGTCCGAGAGTTCGAGTGGAGATGAGAAGAGGAAAAAACATAAAAAGAACAAGAAAAAGAAGAAGAAGAAGAAGAAGAAGGGAAGTAGTTCTGAATCGGAGGATGAGCAGGATGAGAAGGAGAAGAATGAAGATCATCCAGATGAACTTTTAGATGAGAACAAGGTATTTAATCAATTAATCAAATAAAACATTGTCAGGATTGATTTGTCTGTTGATGATGAAGAAAAACTTCCACGGTCGATCTGCTAATATAGTAGTCTAGGTTATAAGATATGTACTTTTCTTTGTTAATCCCTCTGTCTGTCTGATAATCTCTCTTCAAACTTGAAGTAAAAATTTGTCATGGTTTGTTCCATGACGAAGATAGATTTTGTTCAATAAGCTAGGAGAGTTGGCAATTATCAATTAATCTTTATGTGTGTCACTCTGTCTGTCTGTTGTCTCTTTTTTCTCATCTTTTCTTTTTGAGGGAAATTATTATGATAATCGTAGAACGTCTGACCTGATTTAAATGTTGACTTATAAAAAGAGTTCTGGAAGATAAAATTTACCTAAGAAATAATTTCTTTAGTTCCTGTATCTCTATCTTGTTTTGTTTTAGCCTGTTGTAGAGGAGAAGGCTGTTGATATGTTTTCTGAAGATATGTTTGCAGATGAATTCAGTACTCCGACAGGAGGGCATAAACTTATTCAAAACCAGGTAAAATATTGATTGATTGATTGATATATTTATGTATTGATTGATTGATTGGCTTTAGTATTTCGACAGGAGGGTAAAACTTATACAGTACAAGGTTGATTAGTAATTAATTGATTGGTTGGTGTTTTGTTTGATTGATCGAGTAATTAATTTATTGATTTAATTGATTGATGTTTTAATTGATTGACTGAGTTTAGTAATCCGAGAGGAGGGCATAAACTAATACAGAATCAGGTAGAATGTACTTGATTGATTGATTGAATTTAGTACTTCGACAGGAGGGCATTAACTTTTACAGAACAATTGATTGATTCATTGATTCCTTCTCTTTGATTCATTGACTCATTGATTGATCTAGAATACCGAGAATCCCAACCTGACGGATAACTGGGACGACGCCGAAGGTTACTACAGGGTTAGAATTGGTAAATGTTCATTATTTTTTAAATCTAGAATTGATCCATTAGATTTTTTTACTCTGCTTTTTTTCTTAAATGCTTTTCATATTCATCTGATCCATATTTACTAATAATTTTTTTTTTTTTTTTGATTTCATTTGTCATTAAAATTTAGATAACTACAGAGGCAAATAGTTTTGAGGAAAAGAGTGAGAATACAATATTGAAATTATTTCGGCATATTTTTTGTTTCTGAAAATGTTTACCCAAAATTCTTTACTTTATCTCCGAAAACAATTGACTGGAGTAAAATGATATTTAAGGGAGAAGATTTAATACTTTCAAGGAGAGTTCATAGTGTGGGATACTCAAGTTTTAATTCTCAATTTTTGTTCTAATTTTGCGTGTTTTAGGTGAGACCTTGGATGGGCGGTACAATGTATTCGGGTATACTGGTCAGGGGGTCTTCAGTAACGTAGTGAGGTAGGAGTTCATATCCGGGCACCAGTTTTTAGGATCCGGATCCGTGTTATTTCTGCTCCCGGGATGTCGGCTCGTTTTGTGTTGATCTTGATCTATGCACTGATCCATTCAATTACTCTGAAAATTGATTTTGGAGATTTTGGAAAGGATTGAAAAGATCTTAAATGTTTTTTTGCATTATTTAAAAATGTGGATCCAGTTGACGCTTGAATTACAATGAATTAAATTTTCTTTCTTGCAAATTTTCTTTTTATTATTTTTATTATTGTTGCTGTTTAGAGCACGTGACAGTGTGCGTGGTAAACAAGAGGTGGCAATCAAGATTATCAGGAATAACGAGATCATGCACAAATCTGGTCTGAAGGTATGTAATCCTTACTTATCCCTTATTTATTGATTAATTGATTGCTTTGATTTGATTTGATTTGATTTGATTTGATTTGATTTGATTTGATTTGATTTGATTTGATTTGATTTGATTTGATTTGATTTGATTTGATTTGATTTGACCGGAGAATGTTAAAGATTTGTTTTACAGACGGTGCCCCCCCCCCTAATTTTTCAAACTATTAAACACTTAGTTGTATTTTATTAAAGATTTTGATGGAATGCTTGATCGATTGACTAACTGATTGGTTAATTTGTTGATTGATTGAAGGATTGATTAAGAGATTGATTGATTGATTTGATTAATCAGGAGATGGAACTGTTACGACGAGTTAATGATACGGACGCCGACGATAAATACCATTGTATCCGACTGTTCAGGTAATATTATGGGTGAAACAATTTGGCACTTTTTCATGAAAATGCTTAATCCACCTTGCACCGGTTCTAAAATTTTCTTTAATACATTTTTTGAAAAAGATTAGAGAATTTTTTTCATAATTTTCAAACTCATTCAGATTTTTTTTGTATAAATCAAATCAATAACGTAAGTCAGGAAATAAATTAAATTGTATTCCAATGCTAAATGAATTTAGACACTTCTTCCACAAGAACCACTTGTGCATGGTGTTTGAGCCTCTGGCCATGAACCTGAGGGAGGTGCTGAAGAAGTACGGGAAGAATGTCGGACTTCACATTAAAGCTGTTCGGTGAGTCATGCTCTATGAGTACTCAATCAAAGAAATAAGATTTTCAATCAAAGAAATAAGATTTTAAAGAATGAATCTCTCTTAATCCCCATGTATGGTTTAATATCTCTTAATCCTTTTTTAACGGATTAATCTCTCATAGTCCTTATTTAAGGATTAAGCTCTCTTAATCCTTATTTATAGATTAATCTTTCATAATCCTTATTTATTTGTGGATTAATCTCGCATAATCCTTGTTTGTGGATAAATCTCTGAGACTCCTTATTTTAGGATTAATAACTCATAATCCTCATTTATGGATTAATCTCGCAATTCTAAAAATATTTGATATTTATGGATTAAGCTCTCATATTCCTTATTTATGGGTTAATCTAACAAAATCCTTAGTTATTGATTAATAAATAACGAATTATCTTTATTTTTTATGCTGGAATCAAGAGTTTTTTATTTACCCTTATTTAGATCATACGCCCAACAGCTTCTTTTGGCATTGAAGATAATGAAGAAATCCAACATTATTCACGCTGGTAACATTTTTAGAAAATATACAGATTTGATTTTACAAGCTGACTCACAGCATTCCACACAAAAACCGGACATTTTTTTAGTTTCCTGTTTTTCATACGTTTCATACCCCAAATATTTTTATTATATTTTTCTCCAAATATCTCCTATTTGTTCCCAAAACAGTTATTTATTTTCCCAAAAAGTTCGAATTCGGCAGTAAAAAAATAATTACGCTTGTGGATACTTAAAATCAGATTAAAAACTTATTTTTCCAAAAAAAATCAAATTAAATAATTTTTTACCGCCCGTTGACCACTGTTATCGACATATGATTGATTCCCCTATCAAAGGGACTTTAAGTAACTTTACGTCCCTTGGGACTATTAAGAAAAATAACGACCCGCTCTGCGAAGTTTTCGGTGAAATTGTGTACTACTACTTTTTCGGGAATTAAAAAATTTTACTTGACCATGTGTACGGGTACCCTCGACCGTGGGAACCCTTGGTAAAGTAATAATCCCTTAACTTCCCTGTAAAGTAGTTGTAAATAATTATTATCGTAGATATAAAACCTGACAACATTCTGGTGAACGAATCGAAACTTCTCCTAAAACTTGCTGATTTTGGATCTGCTTCCCACGTGGCCGAGGGGGAAATTACGCCGTATCTAGTCTCCAGGTAAATAAATTTATTATCTTTGATTGTTTAAAGTCCCGACCCAGTCCTCGTCTAGCTCTTCGAAACATTTTCCCCAAGTAGGTTAATATAGTTACTATTAGATAGTCACTCGAGGTTTCCAAAGAAACACTAGAAAGAGTATCTACACTCAGAAAAAGGGAAGTGTTAAGCTTGCGTCGAAGTAGTGTTTTTTTTATCAATCTTTTTTATGTGATTTTTTTTATGCAATTATTTTAGATTTTACCGAGCTCCTGAGATTATTCTGGGGATGAAATATGATTTCCAAGTTGATCTTTGGTCAACTGGAGCCACAATATACGAACTGTGTACAGGTAAATCAAGATTTCCTGTTCTACTAGTTTAGAAACCCAGTTTTGACTGGAAATCTTAAGATATTGTTTTTATCCAAACCAAGAACATTTCCGTGGTTCTAACAAGATACACCATCAATAATGAACTGTATGGATATCTCTGTATAAAACTTATGTACGGCCCCACCTGGAATACTGTATACAAGCCTGGAATCCCTGGCTGACTCACTAGTCTGGAGTAAAGAAGGAAGAGGGGAGATATGATTCAAGTCTGGAAAATCCTTCATGGACATGATCATGTGGATAAAAACAACTGGTTTAGCTCAGCCTATGTACCTGGTGAAAATGAAAGACAAACCAGAATGTCCAGTGATCCTTTGAATCTGAAATTACCTGTTGTGCACACCGAAATACAAAGAAACTTTTTTAGTGCAAGAGTTATCAATATATGGAATAATATTCCATATGAAATCAAAAGTGCTGGAAACCTGAACATTTTCAAAAACTGGCGGAATTCCTGAACGGCCAATGAAGTCGGAAAAGAGATGTTTTAAATTATCACACCCGTGATATATAAACATAATCACACCAATTAAACCAATTAAACAATTATTTAATTATCGTAATATTAATATTTTGCTAATTTAATCACTATTTTTTAATTAGGTAAAATAATGTTTCCTGGAACAACGAACAATCATATGCTGAAGCTGTTCATGGACTTCAAGGGGAAGATACCGAACAAGATCATCAGGGAAATACTTGAAACTATTTTTCTTTATTAGTCTACGTTTGTGTTTTTTTTCAGCTTTTAGAAATTTTTTACTCTTAGTTTAGGAAATCTAAAAGCAAGTATCAAATGAAGGTTGGGAGACGGGTTTGTTAAAAAAAATTGTTAACTATAAATTATAAACTGTATTCTACTTGCGTTTACTCTCATAGTTTGAAACGAATTAAATTTTCTTCTCCTTATTACACGGATCCCGGGCGCAACAATAGGCTTTTGTAAGGGGGGGTTTATTTCAAGTTTTCATATTTAGGAAAGGACAATTCAAAGATCTACATTTTGATCAGAACTGCTGTTTCCTCTACCATGATATAGACAAGGTAAGAGTATCATCAAATCTTTAACATTTTTTTAGATTTGATGGTTTCTCCAAATTTTTTTATTTGTAACCAAAACTAGTTTATCTGTTTTTTATTTATTTTTTAACAATCAAAAAAAGATGGACACAAACCCATTTCAAGCTACTTCTTAAAAACTACTTGCTTTATAATAACATCAAATACACATAATTTTGCATAAATTCCGTCTTCATACTCCACAGCTTTATGGGTCCCACTGTACGCAGCTGAACTCTTCTCTGACGGAAATATGCTTAGGTAACACAACGTGAGAAGATCGTGAATATGCCGGTTGTGAACAAGACACGGCATTTAGACTCAGAGCTCACCGGAGGGAATAAGCTGCCTGAAGATCAACTCCGAAAGGTGAGGAGAAGATGATCCCATTTATAGAGTGGCATGTCCGATTCACAACGATACCTGTGATAGCTTTTTCTGAGTTAGTATGAATAAGATATCCATGTTTTTCTTTTCTAAAACTTTTATTATTTCAACTCTGGTTTATCTACTTTTTAAGCGCGACGAATGACGATTTCTTCAATATTATTGATCGGACAAAGGTTTATTGGGTATCGTGGTGATTCAGGCATACCCCTCTAAAAATAGAAGTTTTCTAGAACTACGTCAAGAGTCCCAGGAAGTGTTTTTTTTACTGTTAAAAATGTGTTTTCCTAAAGCGCAGGTGTCCGGTATATTAAACGACTTCAGTTCAATTTTCTGACACAAAGGCTGTAATTGCGACATCAACAAAAGTGATTATTTCTTTATTTCAGATAAAACAGTTAACAGACTTCTTGGAGAAGATTCATCTCCTGGATCCTGCAAAGAGGATTAGTTTAAACCAGTGTCTTTCTCATCCGTTCATCCAGGATAGAGCATAGGTAGGATATCTTGTATCCAGGATAGAGTATAGGTAGGATATCTTATATCCAGGATAAAGCATAGGTAGGATATCTTGTATCCAGGACAGAGCATAGGTAGGATATCTTGTATCCAGGATAAAGTATAGGTAGGATATCTTGTATCCAGGATACAGCATAGGTTGAGAGCTTAACTATTGATACCTATTCAGGATAGAGTATACGTAATATATCTTGTATCCAAGATACAGCGTAGGTAGGATAAAGCTTAGATACCTTGTAGTCTAGAAAGTTTAGAATAATAATTGCTACTGGATTAGAGGTGATTCTGAAGGATAATTAAGATGTTAATTTTACACAATTTACTATATATTTATATATTGTACTGAGTAGACCGTGAAGTTTGGAACTTTAATTATTTAAAGTTTTATTTTTTAGGTTTTGGTTTTGGCCACCAGACGACAGAGAAGAGTTTTTTACTATTTCTATAAATTATTTCTACCACTTTCCGTTTCAACTTTTTTGTATTGTTACAATAGTTATTTGTTTAATTTGCTTTTTGTTAAATTTCAACAATTTTTTTTCTCTGTATTTGCACCGTTTTAAGCATGTAAACTAAATTATGTACAACAACTTGTTAAGGTTCGATAATTTAGATGTACACTGTACATAAAACAAAGAATAATATTTTGATACATTCTGAACTTTTTGTCAGTTTTTCATTATCAATATTACTATTGTTATGCTGAAATTATTCCTCGAATTATTTTGATAATGATTTGTATTTGTTGAAACACTGGCGTCATTGTATACAATGTACATAGTTGTACTCATGAACTATCGGTGTACTGTATTGCAGATAAAATGACTGAGTACTGGAAGAGTAATGAGAACTGGTTCTGCAAGTACTGCAAATGCTGGGTTTCCGACAATCCTGTCTCAAGACAGATTCATGAAAATGGAACGTAAGTAAACTTTAAGATCATCTTAAAGGGACTGTAAGCAGTTTGAAGTGAACCTCCATGCAAAGATGGCAATGCCCGATTTTCGACGGTTCTCCTGAAACCTTGATTTTTGATCAAAAATGTGCAAGATACCGTCGTTTATCCGACTCAACAAGTATTTATCTCCGGAAGTTTCTTCATTGCTTGTTATAAGCAAGAAATGCACAAGTCACTTTCGCCGAAAACCGCAAATAAAAATAAATCGTAAAAAAAACCTGGATATTAATTCATGCATGATAAGAATAAGCTTTTAAAAGTGCCGCTGTAAATCGGGCATTGCCATCTTTGCGTGGAGGGTTACTTGAAATTACGCTTACCTTAAAACCTTTTAACTTAAAAAATCCCTTTAAACCCTTCATTGCTTTTCTTTTCAACAATACAGCACTCACCTCTCCTATTTATCAGACTTCTGAAAGATCTTATAAAATTTCTCAATGTACCAAATGGCCCTTTATTTAGTTGGGAGCACGTCACTTTAAATTTTGTTAACACCCCTTAAGACGCCTTTTTTATTTTCAATTGTTGAATGTGTAAAACTTGGTAAATAAATGTCTTATTACAGACGACACAAGCAGAGCGTTGAGGAGAAACTATCTGAAATCAGAAGAAAACAGATCCAAGATGTCAAGGTAAATGTTATTTACAATATGTTTATCCAGAGGGCGAAACTTTTAATTGGGATAGCACTTTGCTGAAGCAATTAAACTTGATAACCATTCATAAACTTCTGATTTACATCAATAACTTAACAAGATCAGAGCTGGGAACTTTTGAATGTCTAACTCTAAATTCTGTGATGTCTCATTGGGTTGGTCGAAATTAGAATTTTAGTTGCTTCTGATTGTTATCTGCAGCTGAACCTCTCATTGGCTGAATTATGTCCAACTCTCTTTGTTTCTGTTAAGGTTGCTAAGGATGAATCTCATTGGCTGAAGAAGATGGAGGAAGCTGCTCTTAGGAAATAATAATAAATGATTTCAACGAAATAAAAAATAAAAAATTTCTGACAATTGTTTCATCTTTTTATTGCATTTTATAGCATTTAATTATGGCTTGGATTTTTGTAGCAAATATTTTCTAATTTCTACTAGTTTCCTGGGGTCATGCGAGGTAGTTTCCTGGGGTCATGCGAGTTAGTTTCCTGGGGTCATGAAAGGTAGTTTCCTGGGGTCATGCGAGTTAGTTTCCTGGGGTCATGCAAGCCTGCGAGGTTCCGTAAAATGATGTTGAGCCTTCTCGGTTTGGACGATATGACGTTAATTGGATTGAAAAAAATAAGCAGACAATCCAATTAAATATGAAGATGTTAAATTGATAAAAAGAATAATTTTATTATGGTTTAGAGATTACAAGAAGAAAGATATTGCTTCAAATAGAGATTTTACTGCTAAACTTTACAATAATGAGGTAGAGAAATTATCGGATTAATATTTTTATCACCTTTGGACCAACATTACCGACCTATGATTTCCCCACCAGACAGTTATGTAAAATAACCATCCGCTCTGGTTTTCGGGGAAAAATTCGCCGCATTTTCATCTTAAAAGACGATAAAATTGTGTACAACTACTTTTCCGACAATAAAAATTTTATTTAACCACGGGTTCCCTCGACCAATGTTGCTTAAAAATATCTCTCACTGCGCTCTGGATGTTTTGTAGACAAAATTTGTCTTGGGAACCTTGGTAAAGTAAAATTCCCTTACCTTCCTGTAAAGTAGTTCTAAAAAATTAAAAATCTCATTTCTGAACAGATCTAAAGAAAGTAAATATAATGAAAGGACGCCCACCGTGATATCACCAGATGAGCATGAACATCTTGACATTTTCAATACTTTGCCATTTCAGCACTATCGGGCCTTTTGTATTAGTATCGGCCTACAGCTCAGGAAGAACATTTAAAGGGACTGTAAGCGTAATTTCAAGTGAGCCACTATGCACACTGTAACAAATGGCAATGCCCGATTCTCAACGGTACCCTTGAAACCTTTTTCTGATCAATAATATGGAAGATATTGTCGTTTTTTAGGCTGATAAATGTTTAGTTCTAAAAATTTCTGCATTATTTTCCTAAAGTATAATGTGCATTGTGCAAGTAATTTTTCTTGAATTATTTACATTGATATGTTTTTAATACTTGCGCAAACAAAGCGTTTGAATCGGGCATTGCCATCTTTGCATGGAAGGTCACTTGAAATTACGCTTACAATTCATTAATATTTGTTTTTTTTTATCAGGATCTTCCTGATGTTGATGCTAAGTATGAAAATATCAGGAAATCGAACGAAGTTGGTGAGTCAATTTTGTAACTTTTGTTCCCGGTACTCTGCTAAAATTTAATTTTTTTTCATTTTAAAATTAATAAAATGTCAAAATCAGATAAATTTGTTTCAAAATCATAATAAAAATTGTGACAACTGTTTGATTTTGACCTGGAATGGATTAATTGATTGCTTGGTTCTAGGACCAGAGTATGATTAACTAATTGGTTCTAGGACCAGGATTAACTGATTGGTTGGTTTTAGGACCAGAGTAATTGATTGGTTCTAGGACCAGAGTATGAAGAATTGATTGATTCTATTACCAAAGTATGAATAATTTATTGGTTTGAGGACCAGAGTATGAATTATTGATTGGTTCTAGGACCATAGTATGAATAATTGATGGTTCTAGGACCAGAGTATGAAGTATTGATTGGTTCTAGGACCAGAGTATGATTAATTAATTGGTTCTAGGACCCCGGTTGCCCGGAGAACCTGAACCAAAACATCTGAAGTTCGAACATATGCTGAAGGCAGGAGAGGAGAGGGAGGATAAGGAGGTAAAAATATCAAAACAAATATGAGAAGGTTCCGGATTTCAAAAGTTTTTCAATGTTTCTGATATTTCAAAAGTTGCAGCTTTTAGGTCTCGCACAAAAATGGAAGAGAATTTTGGTAATTAGTTCTCAAACCTAAAGCTAGAGCAAGTGCTCTAAAGTTTTAAAGTGATCATGTATTGCGCTACAAAAAAGTATATAAAGAAATTACGAGGTAAAATCAAAGACCTAGGCGATGCGACGCTTCAAATTCGACCCAGTCTAGAAAATGTATGCAAATTTTTGTAGCAGTCTGGATTTATGTTGGAAAAATTGAGAACTAAGAGTGTTTCAAAAGGTTTTTATTTATCCTGGAATATTTCATAATCATTTGTAGGTTCTATTCTGGTATAAATTAAGCCAACACCAAATCTATAATTCTTGAATTGTGATTATTTTCTTTAACGTCTGCCCTGTAACTGAACACAATCTATTTTGGCCTGTACGATAAGAGAATTAAGAAAAATGTTATCCTTCCGTGGATGTCTTTCTTTTTATTCCTAATGGGGGGGGGGGGTATTTGTCCTCACTCTCTATTTACGATCTTAGTTTTGTTTCCACCTGACCAACTCAAAGGGATGTAAGAATGTAAGGAATGGAGTTCTGCGAAATTAGGAACACCTTAGATTCTAAGATTTCTTCATAATTATGGTTGAAATGGTATTTTATTAATTTAAAGCTACCTTAAATTGATGTAATGTATAAAGCCCTACCTATGGTTGAAATGGTATTTTATTTTTTAAAGCTACCTTAGATTTTAAATTACCTTAAATTTTAAAGCTATCTTAAATTTTAAAGCTACCTTAAATTTCAAAGCTACCTTAAATTTTAAAGCTACCTAAAATTTTAAAGCTACCTTAAATTTTAAAGCTACCTTAAATTTTAAAGCTATCTTAAATTTTAAAGCTATCTTAAATTTCAAAGCTACCTTAAATTTTAAAGCTACCTTAAATTTTAAAGCTACCTTAAATTTTAAAGCTACCTTAAATTTTAAATATACCTTAAATTTTAAAGCTATCTTAAATTTTAAAGCCTTAAATTTTAAAGATACCTTAAATTTTAAAGCTACCTTAAATTTTAAAGATACCCTAAATTTTAAAGCTACCTTAAATTTTAAAGATACCTTAGATTTTAAAGATACCTTAAATTTTAAAGACACCTTAAATTTTAAAGCTACCTTAAATTTTAAAAATACCTTAAAATTTAAAGATACCTTAAATTTTAAAGCTACCTTAAATTTTAAAGCTATCTTAAATTTTAAAGATACCTTAAATTTTAAAGCTACCTTAAATTTTAAAGATACCTTAAATTTTAAAGACACCTTAAATTTTAAAGCTACCTTAAATTTTTAAGATACCTTAAAATTTAAAGATACCTTAAATTTTAAAGCTACCTTAAATTTTAAAGATACCTTAAATTTTAAAGATACCTTAAATTTTAAAGCTACCTTAAATTTTAAAGCTATCTTAAATTTTAAAGCTACCTTAAATTTTAAAGCTACCTTAAATTGAAGAATGTTAAAATCCCTACCTTGTTTATTCCTCGATGTCCATTTTACATATCTTGACTTCATTAAATGTATATTTATGTAGAAAGTGATTGCCCCGGTTAAAGCCTCCTCGTCCGGGACTAAATGGCATAACCCGGCACCGCCAAAGGTAAAAAAAATATAATTAAATTAAACAGAAAATTAAATCAATATCATGTAGTGTTTTGTGGGGAAATTGTATACCGAATCTCGTCCTTTTCTTCCTTTTCTCAAGAAATGATTTTGCACTTTGCAATTGTTGCTCTAAATGTTCAGGACACTGTTTTATGTATAGTTTAGTTGCAAATTATAAAACCGTTAAAAGAACAAAAGAGGATATGAATTCCACTGTTTTATATATAGTTTAGTTGCAAATTTTAAAACCGTTAAAAGAACAAAAGAAGATATGAATTCCACTGTTTTATATATAGTTTAGTTGCAAATTATAAAACCGTTAAAAGAACAAAAGAAGATATGAATTCCACTGTTTTATATATAGTTTAGTTGCAAATTATAAAACCGTTAAAAGAACAAAAGAAGATATGAATGACACTGTTTTATGTATAGTTTAGTTGCAAATTATAAAAACCGTTAAAAGAACAAAAGAAGATATGAATTCCACTGTTTTATATATAGTTTAGTTGCAAATTATAAAACCGTTAAAAGAAAAAAAGAATACAAGAATTCCACTGTTTCTTGGTTCTCAATGTTAACTCTTTATTTTGTGTTATCTATATAAGAACATATGCTAAAAAAAACTCAATCTTTTTTCTCAAAAATCAATTATTTTTATCGAATTTTTTAAATTCGAGTTTTTTATTCCAAGGGCAACTCCGGGCACTTCAAGCTAGTATAAAATATATTTTGTAGTATTTGCAACAATTAAGGCTGTGCCTGGATTTTGAAAAATTTATTAATAAAGGTTAATAATGGTCCAGTAACATGAAATTTCTCACTAGATGTGGTACGAGGCCAGGAGTGATGATGGGACGGTTTATTTCTGGAATACAATTACAAAAGGTTTGTTCACCCTGATACCTTTATCTTTAACTAATTTTAGATTGAGTTTGGAGAGATCTCAATATTTAATGCATGAATTAACAAAATGTTAGAAATTGGCTTTTTTGTTTTTTCCTCAAGTTTTTTCGATTCACAACGTTATCCCTGCAATGCGACTTTTATCTGATTAATATAGAAGATATTTTCGTTTTTCTAGGTCTAACAGAGTTTAACTTTGCAAATTCCAATATGTTTCCTGTAGGAGAAATTCATAATGAAACCACAATTGAAAAAAATCAGTTCACAAGAATTTTGAATTTAAACATTAATAAGACAAAAGACATTCATACTAATGTGAAATGAGCGTTGCCATCTTTGCATGAAGGGTCAATTGCAATTAAGCTTAGAATCTCTTATTGTGACGATGTTGTCACTAACATTGTAGAATAGATGGGATACTCCCCCGGCCCTGGTGGATTAATTGTCACTGATATTAATCCACCAGTCTCCTTGGACTAATTGTAGGGTTTTAAAGGTCCAGTTAGAACAGGGGCGGGACGGTGCTTCCTGCGCCTGGNATTGTCACTAATATTAATATAGTAGAGTGTAGATGGGATGCTCCCCCTGGTGGATATATTGTCACTAATATTAATATTGTAGAGAGTAGATGGGATGCTCCCCCGGGTGGATATATTTTCACTAATATTAATATTGTAGATAGTAGATGGAATGCTTCCCCGGGTGGATATATTGTCACTAATATTAATATAGTAGAGTGTAGATGGGATGCTCCCCCTGGTGGATATATTGTCACTAATATTAATATTGTAGAGAGTAGATGGGATGCTCCCCCGGGTGGATATGTATCTGTTGAAGAACAAGAAGTTCATATCACCAAGAAGGAACAGAAGATTGCAAAGAAGGCTCAGGTATTATGTTTTGTAATTATTGTCAGTGTCCTTGTCATATTAAATATCATTATTATCGTTATCATCATTGTAATCATTATCATCATTATTATGATGGTGATGGTGATGGTCATTTTATTGTCATTGTTATTATTATTATTATTTCTAGTTGATAACTGAGCAGAGAAAGTTACATTTAAAGAAGAAAGAAGATGAACCAGAACCAATCAAGGAAAGTCATGATAAACCTCTCTTCAGACTAAAAATCCCTGTTAGAGTGAAGCTGTCTCCCCATTGTATTGTTGGGATCAATGGATAGATATAAAAGTAGTGTTAAGTTCAAATTAAATTCACTGTCATCTTGAATTTGCAGAGATAAAATTATATTTATTTTTAAACCTTACAGAAGCTTCAGCCTCTATATATAGAGTGGCATGTTCAACCTCGACAACAGTCTTGAAACCTCACAGAAGCATCAGCCTCTAGTTATAGAGTGGTATGTTCAACCACAACAACACTCTTGAAACCTTCGTCTCGTCAAGGATGGCTAAAAATATAATGTGTTTATATTTTAAAATTGATATTTCCGATTATCAAAATTCAAGGATATAAAAACGACGATATCTTCTTCATTATTGCTCATATTAAGATGTAAAGGATCCTGTTGTGAATCTGGCATGTAACTCTTAAATAATGGGTACCTTAAATTCTGTCGACACTTTCAATTCATAATTTTAAGATTATTTGTAACTTTTTCTTCGTATAAACTCCTGGGGCTCCTGTGTTTTGAATCCCGTGATCAAGCGGTTATCTGCATCTAGAGCAGATAAATTAAATCCTCTTGTATATCTCACGGTGGTCACTGGTCGTTCCCTCCATGGATAAACAAAATTGATGGATTAAGCATTTACCCATCAAATTAATAAGTTCTCATAGCGTTGTAGAGTAGCGCTATTTTACATTCTAGTTTGGACCTATCAACATCTTTTTTTGTAAGAAATGAGAGGTTTTACTTGATTCTGAGTTCAGACTGATCGATATGGTGGAAGTGGATGGAAAACTGTAGAAACTCAAGCTAAAAACACCGTGGACTTAGGTCTTCCAGCTCATAGGTACACTGGGATGGGATGGGGACGGGGACGATGACGGAGACGGGGACGATGACGGGACGGGAAATGGGAGCTGGGACGGGATGGGATGGGTTTTTACGTATTTAAAAATATTGAGGGGATAAAATGTCTGAGAAGGGGTAAAACTGGATGCTATATGTGTTTGAATGGGACATGATGGAATATCTAGTTTTAAAATCTGCTAATTAATCATTTACCTTAAAAATATTGCTTTAAAAACATTTTAACTTTTAACAATCTAGTTTTTTTTTAGTGAGGGTAGATTACAGCCTGTGATTAAAGCAACACCTGACAGACAGTACACTTTCAAGGTAAACAAGGTTAATTCTGCAGTACACTTTTAAGGTAAACAAGGTTTTTTCTGCAGTACACTTTCAAGGTAAACAAGGTTAATTCTGCAGTACACTTTTAAGGTAAACAAGGTTTTTTCTGCAGTACACTTTCAAGGTAAACAAGGTTTTTTCTGCAGTACACTTTCAAGGTATACAAGGTTTATTTTGCAGTACACTATCAAGGTAAACAAGGTTTATTCTGTAGTACACTTTCAAGGTATACAAGGTTTATTCTGCTGTACACATTCAAGGTAAACAAGGTTTATTACAAGGTTTATTCTGCTGTATACTTTCAAGGTAAACAAGGTTTATTCTGCAGTACACTTTCAAGGTAAACAATGTTTATTCTGCAGTACACTTTCGATGTAATCAATGTTGTTTATATATATTGATCTTTGAATCCGCAACTTCAAATCCAGAGAAAACGAGTGTTTTGTAAAATGTCTTTTGCTCGTATTTTAATCATTTCTTTAGAGGGGGGGGGAGAGAGAATGGATTTTTTTTATTAAAAGTTCAGATTTGATTCTTCCCCCTTTTTAAAAAGTCTGAATTTGAAGGATAAAAAAATTTAAATTTTTGAAAAACTAATTTTTTTCGATAGCACCAATGCGGTTGGGAGGCTAGGTACAATGCACAATGTACAATTACATGTCAGGAAATCTAAAAATCTATATTTCAGGAGAAAACGATTGAAAGCTTAGGAGAAGTGGTCGGAGCCAAACCTGTCATCACCTTCAGGTTAGAGAAACAAAATAAACAAACTACTTAATTTTGTCAACACAAATGTGTACTGTGAAGTGTACTTTATTTATGTTGTTGTTGTTGTACAAATAGATGCACAGCATTTGTTAATGTGTTGTGTCTATTTTTAATCTATTGAGTCAATATTTGACAAAGTTTAACGATTTTCTAATTTTTACTAAACATTTAAAAACCTAGAAATAATATCTGTTTCCAGGAAAAGAAAGAACAACGCAGTTCGGGAAAGAACAGATGATGATTGAGCTTGATGATTGAAAACAAATTTGTTGAATAAAAACTTAAAATGTACCTTTTTCCGATATTTCATTCGGGAAATAACGCTGTTTTTGTAATAAATCTTAGATCTTGTAGAATATAGTGTTTTTTTAGTTAATTAATTTTATTCCTGAATTACGAAACTGAAAATTTTACTTTCTGATATAATTGCATTTTGCTTGTTTCAAGTTATGAAATAAAAATCAACAAGATTTGTATTACTTTGTGTTTTTAATCTATAAGATTTGATTAAATAATGAACAATTTCCTATACATGAAAATTATAAAAAATTGCAAAAATGTCATTAGCCTGCAAAAATATCATTTTAATTCTTGTATATTAAATTTGAAATTTAAAATATTAAGCGAAGTTTCTATAATAAAATGAAAAAATTAAACTAGAAGAATTCCACCGTTGGTTCCTAATATATTAAAGACGACCCTCTTCTCTATTATGTTGTATAGTTAAACACACTGTATTCTAGTGCAAATGCATTATTGCACAGTGCTAAAATCTGCGATAATACTGTCTATATAAACACGCAATTTGGGGGTTTGACAATAATAAAATATGCATTTGTTCTCTCATCTCATTCAATGAGCTAACACAAGGGTATTTATTCTTAAAACTACAATTTAGTATTTTCAGATTTTATTTTTAAATTTGTTATCAGTCCGCCATGTGATGGTTACATGTTTGCAAATTTTTTTGCCCTGTTGCAATCCAGGCGTTAGATGCGAACACGATACTGTTTTGCATGCTCATTTTGCATGATTTTCTGCAAATTCATTTTATGATTGAAATTTGAACCGTGGTCGAGCTAATTACGCCCTGTAAACATTATACCGGGAAGATGAGACGTGAATTCGTTATATTTAAAGTTTACATTGTACGTTTTATATTGTACAATTACATGAGTTGAAATAAATATTGCGGGGAAATGTGTGTAAGGATATGGAAATTACATTGTATTGGCTGAAATTTTTTATTAACCTGCGCGACATTACATTCCTATAAAGTTAGTTTTTTATTTCAATTTAGAAGTTAATAATTCAAAATTTCACAAAATTAGGTCGTAATTACACGTTTTAACTTTTCTAATAAGGCACGACAATAACAAAAACTTTAGTTTGTAGACATTTTGCTAATTACACGTAATGATAGTGGAATTTTGCGAAATTACGCGAAATTGAAGTTGCGCTTATTAGGAGTAATTATTGCAAATTTCGCCAAATTACTTTTTAGAAATTACGCAAAATTACTCCGTAATTTCGCGAAATTGTAGTTTCGCTAACTACTAGTAATTATTACAAAATTTCGCGAAATTACTTTGTAGAAATCACGCACAATTACGGCGCAATTCGCGAAATTGAAGTTACGCTAATTACGCGTAATTATTACAAAATTTCGCGAAACTTTTTAGAAATTATGCAAATTACTCCGTAATTTCGCGAAATTGTAGTTTCGTTAACTACTAGTAATTATTACAAAATTTGCGTAATTTGGCGTGCTACAACTTTAAAGGAAAGGAGTTACTCAACGATTAACTTTATTTAAAAACTTAACTTAACTAGTAAAATAATTGAATATATAACACATGATTTTATATCAGCTGATCTGGAAACTCCTCCTTGGATTTCTCTAGAATTATTCAGGAAGACGATATTCATATCCGCCACAGTACTCCCCCCAGAAGGAACGGCGGAGAAATGGCGGAGCAGATCCTTCTATCTCTCGCAGCTCTGTGTGGATTCCGTCGTAAAGGTATAGGTGGCGGAACAATTTGAGGATTGAGAAGGAACCTAACCTTCTTAGACTTCTTTGCGGCGGACGG